ATGGGGGGAAAATGGGAAAAAATTGAGAAAAAAGGGGGGAAATGTGGGGAAAATGGGGGAAAATATGGGGGAAAATGGGGAAAAAAGGGAAAATGTGGAAAAACGGGGATTTGGGAAAAGAATAGAAGTTTGGGGGGAAAAAAATGGGATTTTTTTGGAAAAAATTGGGGTTTTGGAACAAAAAAAGGGATTTTTTGGGAAAAAAAATTCAGTAAATAAATTGAATTTTTGGAATTTTTTCATCCTAAATTTAGGTTTTAATTTATTTTTGGCAGCAAAGGGAGAAGTTCAAGTGGAATAAATTGAATTTTTCTATTCTAAATTCAGATTTTTTTTTCATTTTTGGCAGCAAACGGAGCTGTTCAAAGGGGATAAATTAATTTTTTTTTTTTTTTAATTTGAAATTTATATTTTTTTTAAATTTTTTGGGCAGCAAATGGAGAGGTTCAAGGTGGTGGAAAGGGAAATTTTTATTTTTTATTTTTTTTAAATTTTTTGGGCAGCAAATGGAGAGGTTCAAGGTGGTGGAAAGGGAAACCAAGACCAAGGCTTACAGTAAAGAGGGGCTGGGGCTGGCCCAGAAAGTCGACCCCGCTCAGAAGGAGAAGGAGGAGGTCGGGCAGTGGCTCACGGTGAGAAATTTTGATTTTTTTTCACTCAAAAAATTTTAGAAAATTTGGTGGAAAAATGAAAAAAAAAGATGAGGAGGAAAAAGGGGAAAAAATTGGGGTTTTTTCCTCAAAAATTGGGGTTTTTTTACATTGAAATTGGGATTTTTTTTGCTTAAAAATTGGATTTTTTTCCGTTAAAAATTGGGGTTTTTTTACATTAAAATTGGGGGTTTTTACTTAAAAATTGGGGTTTTTTTACATTAAAATTGGGGGGTTTTTTTTCTCAAAAATTGGGGTTTTTTTACTTAAAAATTGGGATTTTTTTACTTAAAAATTGGGATTTTTTTTCCTTAAAAATTGGGGTTTTTGCTCAAAAATTGGGGTTTTTTCCTTAAAAATTGGGATTTTTTTTATTTAAAAATCGGGATTTTTTTCCTTAAAAATTGGGATTTTTTTTCCTTAAAAATTGGGGTTTTTTTACATTAAAATTGGGATTTTTTTTCCTTAAAAATTGGTGGTTTTTATTTAAAAATTGGGGG